ACTATGTGAGTACTATGACAAGTTCCAATAGGCGGAAAAACAATATTGTTTGGAGGAGATTTGAAACAGGTACTGTCTTTACGTTCCAAGCAAAAAAGGTTAAAATAATATAGCCTAGCAAGTATGGTATAGTAGTAAATGGAGCATCCATATATAACAGTAAAACCTAGATGTAGTTTCTGTTTCTTTACGTTTTTTAAACAAACCAAAAATATGCATGTAAATGCTGATGAAAAGTATTTTCGTAATTGGTTTCGATAACTGGGTAATGGAACCAGTCCAATCGCAAATGAGTTAGGGATCAGCGGATGATTAGACTTATTTTATGGTGGTGTCAAACTTTATGTGGTGGTGTCAAGTCAATCGCACCTTTACGAGGAATACCACCTAATAATCTTACACTAGGCTAATTATTGTAGTTTTTATGTTGATCAGGTTAGGTTTGGCCAATGGGATACCTTTACTTCACACTAATTTTGTTAAACCTTTTACAAAAGGAGTATAAACTATTATTTTGATTTAGCTGTTTTGGCCAAGAACTACGCATAACTCAACACACCTTCTTTGCCTTTATTTGCCTTTTTATATTTCACGAAGGCAATGTCTAACATTCAAATCAGGGGATCCTTTTTTATGCAAGTTAATCACGAAACTAAATCTACCTTAGTATGACAGTACCGTATTTATTCACAAACAAGTATATGTTTGCTGCCTTTAGCAGAGTGATTTACTTATGGAGTGATTCAAATAATCTATTGAAAATAACATCACAGAAGCAAACAAAAACAAACAACAAACTGTTTCTACACAAAAGTAATGTGTTCTCCATAAGAATAGCATTAGCAGCCATTTTACAGCTGATTTTTGTTTACTTCAATACTGCTGATAGTGATTTATCACTAATCCAGTACGCAATATTATAATTTAGAGGATTGCGTATATAATTCAAATATACTCTTATTTGCCAGTATATTCGGCAATGTACTGTATAGTGTATAAAACCAGAAATAATGTTATCTGCATAGACCCTTTTCGTTAGTCTAATAACATCCAAAGACTCTCTAAGAGTTCAAGTTCTTATTTGTATACTTATCTATTTTGAGATCGACCTATTATGTTTTCACTAAGCTGAATGAATACATCGAAGTATCCTCTCTGAAACATCTGCAGTATATTGCAGTTTTCCAGCTTAATGACTTTCTAAATCATGCACATATTTCTACATAAATATTGTAAAATGTTTTATCCAGTTGCTGCAAACCACTATTAATTTAACAAATTATGGACACGGCTCAAATGGGTACCGTGCCCTTCTGCACTTGTATTATTTTGTATTGTATTACACAATCGAAGATTTTTCCAATGATTTAAAGCATGTATGACAATAATCTCATGGACCTATGATGATCTGTCTAGAATAATATGATAAAATATAAGGAAAAAGTGTGAAAAAGGCAGACACCAACCCGTAAAATAGATATAAGATAGTTCAATAAGAAATAACTAGTAAACACGTTGCTCGAAATCGAGCAATTGCAAAGAAGTGAAGTAGTTATTTAAAAACAAAGAAAAGTCATCATAATTTCTGATGAGTTTTAATGTCTTTGAATTGAAAAATAAATAACTGCAGATAACTTATACAGCTGATCAAAATGTAAACAATAATGTTATTCATAAGGATAACATGGGAAATTTAACAGCCACTGGGGCAGAGCCCAAGGGACTTTTTTCAAAAATGTAAGGTCAGTTTGCAAATCTATGCGACACGCTCTTTTTAATGAGACGTCAACGGATATAATCGGCTAAAAAATGGCGGAGGAGTTCAACCGACAAAGTTTCGTGTAGCGTATTAATTATATAGATTGTAAGAGTTATTGTAATAAAAGGATTTCCACTGATTTCGCAATGGAACTTTATATTGCAACACATGACATGAAACATAAGAAAATCAATTTTAAAATCAGAAAATAACATTGCAAATACTTCTTTTGGACAATTCAGTAACTCCCAATATATGTGTGTTGTTTACAATACAATTTTAAAATGAACAGCTGTTTTATTAAAAAGTATTATCCACATGACAAAATGTAAACAAACCTGTGGAGGGATCTTTAAATAGTCCAGTCAATCTGGGGTTTTTAGACAAAAAAAATACTAACAGGCTGGATTTTTTCCCATCGACTACTACCATGTAGACAAGTCTCCAGCCAAAAGTCCCCACCCCTAGCCCTCTTGCTTTTTTCCCTAGAGCCCTCAAAACTTTTTAAGGGTGGATAAATGCAGTACTTTATACAATCGCTTATACTTCAGTAACTATTTCAGATAGACCTTACATCTTGTTGTTTTTAGATCCCTAAAATTACGGTCTAAGAACACGTTATGTAGGATTTGTGATTAGTTTACAGGTTTAATAGTTATTTCCATCTTTAATGCTAGAAAAAACAAAATGTTTCCATTTTATTCCGAATATTTAAGAGATATAGCTCTAATAATAATCATTAGTAAAGAGTTTTTATTTCAACATATTCTTCATTTAATAAGCTTTAAAATGATATATAACTTGGCATAACTAGCACTTACTATGCCCTTTAATTACCCATTTGAAGTATAGTAATCACCGCCGACTGCCGTGAACGCGCGCCCCGTCCCGCCCGCTAGCGCCGCCGCCGCGCCGCGACGCGATACCGACAAGGGCTCGGGACTAGGCATGCCTCCGTTCACATAATAGATGATTTATTTTTTTAAACGATCTTCATATCACTTAAAAACAAACATATTATTATTTCTCATATTAATTAATTAGGAAAATTAAAAAGAAACTAATACAACTAAATCAATTAGTAATTGCATATAAAGCATCAAGCCGAGTAAATACTGCATAGTATATGTGTGGTAAATAATAACTTATTATATTATAAGACAAAAATAATATAAATTTAAAATGTGAACACAGATTTAACTTATGTAAATAAACATAAACAGTGTACACAACTGTGATAATAATATTAACAAGCCTTATGTTTTATAAATCCTTATGTTTTCCCCTTTTGTGTGCCCTATTAGTAAAATAAATAATACAGTTACTGTTTTAGTAAACGATAGAACAATGGCAAATCATGTTTTCTACTATCACTTATTTATTTTTCCATTTCACTTAGAACCTTTTATTTCGATTTTCACAGTTGGTGTTCCTGTAACCGATTTGGGTTGGCACCCCTGCAACCGTTTCCGTATAGTATCAATCAATCAATCTATCAAAATAACTTTATTCATATTGCACATCTTGTACAGAATGGAGTCAGTTATAAAAACACAATATTAAACTTAATACTACTTACAAAGAAAATTGTTATTATAAAAAAAATCAAATTTCAGGAAGTTGGAAAAAATCTTCTAATTTATACAAGGGTCTGTTGGTGAGAAATAATTTCAAACGTTTTTTAAATGAATTAAAATTACTTATATTTTTTATATTGTCAGGTAAGCTATTGAAATATTTAACACCACTATAAGATGGAATTTTTTCATAAACCGATAAATTATGTCTGTTGAACGCCAATTCATTACCTTTTCTGGTTGAATATGTATGAAAAGAGTTCAATTTTGGCAATCTTTCATGGTTTGATTTAATATAAAGGGCTATTTGATAAATGTATAAGCTAAAAACAGTCATAATTCCTATTTCTTTAAACTGCTCTTTTGCGGATGTTTTTGACTTTAGTTTTAACATAATGCGAATTGCTTTTTTTTGAAGTTCCAGAATGCTATTTAGGTTAAAGTTTGATGTGCCCCCATAAAGACACAACCCAAAAGAAATATGTGATTCAATTAGGGAATGATATACTATTTTTAAGGTTTTTAAACTACTAAATTTTGACATCTGTCTTAATGCATGTATTCCTGAGTTGACTTTATTACAAACGTTTTCAACATGACTGTCCCAGTTAAATTTATCATCTATATGCAATCCAAGAAATTTTATTGTTTTAACTTCATTTAGTGAAATTGTATTCATAAAAATATTAAACTCAGGTGAATTTTTGCTTGTTGAAGAAAAATTTATATAATTAGTTTTTATTGTATTCGGTAATAAATTGATTTAATTTAAATATTGGTTACATTTGGTAAGCTCAACAAAAGAAGAGACTTCCACATCAGCATTTGAATTTCCGGATATTTTTATATTGATGTCATCAGCAAATAAACAAACACGATTGGGAGATTCTATCAATGAGGGGAAGTCAGTTAAGTAAATTAAGAATAATAAGGGCCCCAATATTGATCTTTGAGGGACACCATACTTAACAATTTTCGTTGAGGAAGTGTAAGTAATTAATTGGTTATGGCTATTTATGTGATCAATTGTGACATACTGCTGCCTGCCTGTAAGATAAGATTCAAACCAACGCCAAGCTATCCCTTTTACACCGTTACATTTAAGTTTTTCAAGAAGTAAATCATGCGAGACACTATCAAAGGCTTTTGTTAAGTCTAAGAATATTCCCACTACTTTTTCCTTTGAATCAATTGAATTAATTATAGATTCACAGAAATCGATTCCTGCGTCAATCACAGACCTTCCTTCTCTAAAACCATATTGTTCCTTATCTAATAAAGTTAAGTATTTTGAAAGTTGTATATGCACAACTCGCTCAAAAATTTTTGAAAATGAGCATAACAATGAGATAGGTCTGTAATTACACACTTCTTCTGGGTTACCATTTTTATAACAAGGTTTAATTTTTGATTTTTTTAATTTTTCGGGGAAGATTCCAGAGATAAAAGAAGAGTTTGTAACATGTAGTATATTTTATATATTTTAAAGGTTGGCATCCCTGTAACCGTTTCCGGATGGTAATCAACTTGCGTGAGTGTGATATAAAGATGGTGTTTTTTTCGAAGTGAATATAAGTTTAAATAAACAGATGCGTGCTTGTTATTTCCTAATAATGTTATTTAGTTATGACTTGAGTTTTTACGTGAGTATTTAGTGTATAATTATGGAAGCGGAATGTGACGAAACGGAGGAAGACTCGCCTCGATGCGTGATCTGCAAAGGACAGTTGGCAGCAGGTGAAACTGTGAATGTAAGATCCAAAGGATTGTTAAGCCTAATTAAGTCCAGCCTAACAAGGAAAGATGACTTACACAAACAATTTGAGAATTGTCAACAAATTAATTTACACAAAGAATGTAGGAAGACCTATACTCGCAGTTCCTCAATCAGATAATTTATTTCTATGTCTGCATGTAAAGAAACTACTTCTATTAGCACAGTGCAGCCTTCATCATCGTTTAATTTAAATTTACTTAATTTTGACTTTAAAAATAAATGCTTGTTTTGTAGCAAAGAAATTGTTATTGACAAAAAACTCCAGAGCTATATAGAAAATATATTCGTTTGGTGCAAAACAAAAGTGTACAAAGTACGCTACTGAAATATGCTGAAGATAGAACCGATGATTGGGGCGAGACTGTAAAATCGAGAGTGATAGGGGTTGCCGACTTAGTAGAATGCGAGAGTCGGTACCACTCAGATTGCTTTGCCAGATTTACCAAACCATCGTTGACCACAAAAAAAGGCAGGCCAGAAAACGAAGATTTAAAAGAGGCTTTCTTAAATGTTTGCGAATATATCGAGGACAGTGATGACTGTCAACATCTAGTTTCAGACTTGGAAGAAATGATGAAAGAGTTCTCAGGGCAGAGCTACGGAACTCAACATTTTCAAAATTATGTTAGAAAAACACGTTTTTACCCTCATTTCTTGCAATTGCAAGAAATCTTGTCGAAACAACTGCAGCTGCTTCAAGGCTTCTTTAAATTGTACAGAAATGTGAGGAGTATGTGCGGGACAATGTTCGAACAGTGCAATAATAGAAGTGGACCTGGAAGATACAGCATAAGCAAGACCGTAGGAATTGGCAACTATAAGTGCAAACAGTGCTTTCATGTTCCTTCTGTCACAAGATGGAGAGAGCTCTTCACTAGAGCTCACCTTGGTGCATACCTTAGATCTATATTCATTAAAAATGAATATTACATGTTTTTTTTCTATACAAGTTGTTTTGTTATCCAATATCAATTGTTAAAACTAGGTAAATAATAATTTATTTTTGTTCCTTATTGTTTACTTATTTCTTGGAATGTTTCTTGTATCCTTGGTCTTGTTCCAGGATTGATAAATTGTAAATAATACAAATAATATGATGAAAGAGGTAGTATTTAAAAATAAGTTGCCCTAGAGCAAAAGTGAACGCAGGCGTGGGCGTGCCTAGTCCCGAGAAGCAGTATCGTCGTCGTCACGTCGGTCGTCGCGTCGGTACGAGCCTCGGCGCGCGGTCGCGGCAGCCGGTGCACACTATACTTCAAATGTTAAGTCACAGGGCACAATACGAGCGAAATATGACAAGTCATATATCATTTTAAAGCTTATAAACAGGAGAAAATATTTACTTGAAACCTCTTTATTAATGATAATTACTGGAGCCTTGTTTTAAAATAATATGCGCAAATATTCTAAATGAAATAGAAAAATTATGCATTTTTATTATTAAAGATAGAAATAACTATTAAACTAGTAAACTAATCACAAAACCTACATATCATGTTCTTAGACCGTAATTTTAGGAATCTAAAAACAACAAGATGTAAGGTCTATCTGAAATAGTTACTGAAATATAAGGGATTTTATAAAGTACTGCATTTATCCACCCTTAAAAGATTTGGAGGGCTCTAGGGAAAAAAGCAAGAGGGCTAGGGGTGGGGACTTTTGGCTGGAGACTTGTCTACATGGTAGTAGTCGATGGGAAAAAATCCAGCCTGTTAGTATTTTTTTTGTCTATCGGCCTATTTTAGGAACAGATTGACTGGACTAAAAGGCTTCTGGGGCAGAGCCCTAAGCGAATTTACTTCGTTTTTCTTTTGATAACTCATCTACAGACCAAGACCTTTCTTTGGACACCTCTACCAAGTTTCTACGCTCAGCCGTTCTCTCAAATTAGTGGAGACAAAGTTTCCAATTAAATATTTAGATTCCCCCATGTTAATCTTATGGGATAAAACCCAACTTTGATGGAAGATACTGCACAAACTAATAAAGATTTCAAAAAAAATAAAAACCCTTTGCAAAACTATAGATCAGGGCCATTCTTTTGACTTTAATCATCATAATCGGTCCAAAAATGAGGGAGGAGTTCTGTTCACAAAAATCGGCTTAGCGAATTATATAAATAGATAGATTAATAGGCAAGCATGTTTCTTTAAAACCTGTTTTCTCAGTTTGTGTGCAGCGCAGGGAAAATCTACTCATACTGTTAGAAAGATATTTTCCAGTAGATTTGCAGAATCCCTTTAAAAATTATAATAGGCTAAAAAATAAGTACAAAAAATGAATTTGAAATTAAAAAAACCATTAACATGGGCTTTATGGGTTGCCATGCTGGTGACGAAATAGGTAACAACAAAATATAAACAGAAAATCAAAACAAATGTAAGAAATTCCAATCACATGTTTTACTTACAGTGTGGGGTGAAAAATAGAGAAGTCTGTACAGTGCAATTGGATTTTGTTAGCTAGAAGCGGTTAAGCTGTGGTGAAATATCTTTGAAGATGAACCTTTTTAGTGCGATCATGTGTTCATACGTGTCAAATTTTTTGGTTATGGTTAAATCAAAACAAACAAACTGGCTACTCTACTCTTACTCTACTTAAATAAAATCACATAGTCATTACAGAATATTTACTGTGAAATAGAGACATGATTCCTAATTCCAAATAAACTAATGAATAAATTGTTATTTAATTATTGTCTTCAAATTAAGTGATGGTTGCTTTGAAAATAATTAATTTAACATAAGCAAATACTGTATTAAAATAAAGTAATACAAACAAATAAGTACAGCTGAGGTATTTTAACATTAGGTAAATGGAAAGTTTCCTTTAGAAAAGAATTACGACCTTAAAGGGCAATTTATAAATAATGGATAGTTTTGCGCAAGGTTTCTCGTCATTACGAACATTTAAGTATATGGTTTATGGGCATGGTGGAAGATGTTTGCGACTCGGTCCCTGCACTGAAGCTTTGCTTCGCAGGGACCTGATTTCAGATTATTTAATGTAAAAAGTATATGTAATGTTTATTTTTTCTAAATAAATGAATGAATTGAATTGAATGAATTATATGTTTGCTGCCTTTAGCAGAGTTAAACTTATGGAGTGATTCAAATTATTTATTGATAATAAATATATTTTCATGACTCACAACACCGTATAACATCAACAAAAGCAAACAAAGGCAAAACACCAAAATGTTTTTTTACACAAAAGATATGTTGTACGGGGATATCTATTCTGACACATTGATAACATATTTATGAGATTGTTTAAATATTAAAATAATTTGTCAATTATTCAGCTTTTTAGGGACTTATGTCCTTACAAGCCACTAGTGATATTTACTTAAGTAAATAAAATAGGTATGTTGAACTTTAGCTTATGTTCTTTATTTTCACACCTATTAATAATTGCTGCGGCACGCGTGATGCGCCAATAGTTTGGTAATAATAAAAACTAACACTTTTAACTGAACTATGATTTTATTGATGTAAATATGAACAAATTGTATCAGTGGACTGTATAGTGAAACTACAATAAATGAATTTCTATATCGAAACTGATTTGGTTGTAAACTAAATGTGAATTTAAGAATATTATGAAGCTGAAAGAAAGCAATGTTACTCGGCCGAACACGACAATCTCTAGGCTAGACCCTACTAATCATATTTCCCACAGACCACCCTTAACCCACGGTCCTAGATAGCAATTCTAAAGACAAATAGAAAGGGAGTTTATGTGACCGTATTAGTTCTTTACGCAGAAGGACGGTCTCAACTGCTTTGTTAAGAAGCCGACTTGCCCTAGCAGAACGAATGAGTGGTTTATGCGATCGTAAACAACTCTAGATGTTTGATAATATTTGAAATTTAGAAACGTAACTATCTTCTAAAAACATAAATATAAAGACACACAACAGATGAATTAGATACACTCTCCCCAACAATCATTGTTTCAAGCAAAATTACTCATAAATAAAAAACAAATTTTTGAATGAATAGTATACAAGTATTTGCCAAAATCGTGTACGCCATCTTTAATTTTGGACTTCCGAGACTCCGATTTCTTTATACCGTTTCCCTAGTAAAGGCACACAATTCTTAGTCAAAATAACCAATTATTAAACAATTTAAAGCAATTTTCTTAGGGTTGTCTTACGGATTTACTCGACTATATTCAAATCTTTGAATTATGTTTCAATTGTTTACTTATTAGTTCAGTATATTTTGAAAACACAGAAATTGATGTTGCTGACAAATGCTGTGAATACAATTCAGTGACACAAGAACAAAAAATCTATGTAAATAATACCCCCACCGCAGCAAGCCTGCAGTCTAAGCGAATTTCCATTTACCCGGTTCGTTCGACTTTTACTAAAATATTCCCACAAAATTGTCAGATTTATTTCCTATTTCTAAATAACATTAATTTTAGTGAGTACTTAGGTTTGCTGCTACGAGAAAGATATTGAGGTGTGATTTTTATTGAAATGTTGATAACTATGTTGATAGCTTAGTATGAAATAAACAAAATTGCCAAATTTGATTAAAATATATCCATAAACAACCAAACTACAACAGTTTATTTATCCTCCATAAGAATAACATGGGAATGTTAAATTTACAATTTTTAAAATTATCTCCAAACCGTTGGGCATACAACAACTCTTCAATATACGAGTACAAAATTATTTATTTTTAAGCTCTACAATATGGTTTTGGATAGAAATTAAAAAAAAATTGTGTTTTGGGGTCAAAAATAGGAAAAATCAATTTTCACCCCATAAAACTGGTTAGCAAACTCGTTCGAATAAACGTAGGTTTACACGTTTGTGCCAAAATGTCATAAAAATTGGATCATTTTTGCTCTAGTTATCCTCAAAACGATAACGTAAATCGGTTCCAGGTCTAGTCTTACCATGTGTTACATGTGTCTTACCATGAGACCTACGGTGAATTTTTGCTTAGTCCC